GCTATGGGCGAGGTTACAGAGTGAACTTGAATGTGGTTGGCTGTCCAAGTCAAATGAGCCAACCCCCAAGTCAATAGGACACTGCTAAGCAAAGATATGCATGTAGGGCAGTTATAATGGCAGTCTATGGGACCAGTTTGGGGGCGTGGCTTGTGAGATTCATTATCATATTGAGATGCTCATTGGTTGTCTGAGTCAGATGAGCCATCCCCCAAGTCAATAGGACACTGCTAAGCAAAGATATGCATGTAGGCCAGTTATAATGGCAGTCTATGGGATCAATTTGGGGGCGTGGCTTGTGAGCTTCATTATCATATAGTGATGCTGATTGGTTGTCTGAGTCAAATGAGGCCACCCCCGTGTCTCTATGACACTCCTATGTAATGTTATAGATGTGTGACCTTTACAATGGAAGTCAATGGGATCTGCAATGGGACATCCCACCCCATGTTAAGTCAATGGGGCACTTATTAGGGGTCTTTAAGTGGTTTGGGGGGGCGTGGCTTGTGAGCTTCAAAATCATATTGAGATGCTGATTGGTTGCCTCAGTCAAATAAGCCTACCCTCAAGTCTGTATGACAGTGCTATGTAATGTGATTGACATGTGAGTCAAGAAATGAATGGGAGTCAATGGGCAATGTAAAGTCAATGGGGACCCCTTTGGGACGTCCTAGCACCCCAGGGGTACAACTTATACCCCCTTTTGGGGTATGTTCTCATACAGGCTGCAACCCCCTACAGATGTTGCGAATCCCATATTTCTACGAATTTCACACTTGGCGCTATAACGCTTTAAAGGTCGTCCCATTTCGCGGGGGCGTTAGTGCTGTTCTAGAAAAATGAATGGGAGTCAATGGGGCCAATGTAAGTCAATGGGAGCACTTTGGGACGTCCTAGAGCCCCAGGGGTGCAACTTTTACCCCCTTGCGAGGTATGTTCTCACTTAGGCTGCAACCCTCTACAGATGCTGTGAATCCCATATTTCTATGAAATTCACACGCGGCGCTGTGAGTCGTCAAAGTTGGGCGTAATGTTGAGTCAATGCGTTTTGGGGGGTGGTTTTGGGGCCCCTGCGGGGCCCCAAAACCACCCACCCCTTATAAAAGTCATAGCACACCATTCCCGATAAAGCCGCACGATTTGAGCCCACTTTCAAGGGTCTGGGACGAAAGCTGCGGGACTAGTTACGCGCCGAAAAAGTGTACGGAAGAAGAAGAAGAAGAAGAAGGAAGAAGAATAATAAACCACAATAGTAAGAATGGACTTTGCCTATGGCAAACCCCATTAATAATAATAATAATAGTTACTAATAGTTAATAATAGACTCTGTAGACTGGACTAATGAAGCTGAAAATTTATCTTTAAAATCACTGGAATAAATTGTTAAATTAAATGATAAACTGATAAAATGGTTATTTTATAGTGCAATAACATTTCACAATTTTACGTTTTTTTTTACTGTAGTTTTGAATAAATAAATGCAGTCTTGGTGAGCAGCAGAAGCTTATTTTTAAGCATTTAAAAATCCTACTGACCCAAACTTTTGACCGGTAGTGTACAATAAATTCTATTGTGGTAAATTCACATCAACATCTGTTTGAAATGTTTTTTTTTTATAGTAACTGTGTTTTTTGCAGAACATATTGGTCAAAAATGAAAACGAGCCTTCAAGCATCAGAAACAATAACAGTTTACTACAGCTTTAAATGTAATTTTTTCCATGCATTAGAATGTGTCTTGTTTGTTTGTTTGTTTGTTTGTCTGTTTGTTTTTTCTTCTAATCATTTGTTTTCACACCAAATAGTTTATGTACCTAAAAATCCCGCCAGGCATATTTAGTACCATAATTGTTTGATGACACGCTAAAATACAAAACACAAATGAACTTAATTGTCACTAAGAAGTTTTAATATATTAAGATATAATAACATTTAGTATGATCCCTTATTATTTTATATTTTTTAATAAGTACAGGTCAGGATATGTGTGCTGTCATTTCTACACATGTACAGTTGAGGTCAGTTGAGGAATTTTTTTTTAAATATTTCCCCTTCATTTCTGTTAATAAGAGAACGGAGAGATTTTTCTTAAATACGTTTCCAAACCTAATAGTTTTAATAACTAATTTCTAATCAATTATCTTTGCCACTATGACGATATGTAATGTTTAACCAAATATTTTTCAGGATACTAGTATTCAGCTTAAAGTGTAATTTAAAAGCTTAACTTAGCTTGTTAATTATGTAAATAGGTAAGTTAGTAGGTAGGGTAATTAGGCAAGTCATTGTATAACAATGGTTTGTTGGGAAAAAAATATTGCTTAAGGGGCTGATAACATTGACCTTAAAATTGTTACATTTTTTTTTTTTAACTACTGAAATTTTAACTGAAATAAAACAAATTAAACTTTCTCCTGAAGAAAACACTTATAGAAAATAATGTAAATTCCTTGCTTCTTAAACATTATTTGTGAAATATTTGAAAATAATTCACAAGAGAGCTATAAATTGTGACTTATAGTTAATATTTATATATTTATAAATGTGTGTGTGTATGTAAGTATGTGTATTGTGTTCTAAGTGTATATGAAACCGCTTTTCGTCAATGTTATTTTGATGCAGATCTAAAACGAGACGTCTTGTATTTTATTTCATCCTGTTGAGTTTCATTGCTGTCAAGTCAGAGGTGTTAGCAAAAGTTTCCATGCAAACAATATGCTTTCATTGATAAGTGTCTTACTCAAAAATAGCATCTAGATACAGTAAGTGTGTTGTGGACTGCAGGCAGTGCAACAGAACAGAAGTAGATCAACACATAGAATTGTACAAAATGAATATTAGAATGATTGTTTATTTCACTGGCTGTAAATTTCCAAAAGAATCTGGCATTGAAGTCAATAAATAAGCTATGGCATAGACAATCTTTGATTTACTAAACAATACCAACCTTACAGACACCCACCAAACCCACCCTTTCTTTGATCCAACATTTTGTCTGTTATTGTTTACAGTGCCTATCAAAGAACATGTATTTGATCTTGAGGTACCAAAGTCAACAGAAAACGATATGAAGACAATGAAAGACAAGGTTTTTTTTCCTGTGCGCACCATTTAACCGGACTCTTTCCTACTGTGATGAACAAAGGCTACGGATATTGTGTCAGGATGAAATAACAAAGACAAAAAACTACCAGATCACCAAACTTAGTCATGACATTTATTATATATTGTCAAATAATGAAGCTAGATCTTTTTCTCATTTTAACGTGACTTTCTTGTGTTGCCTATGATTAATTATTCTGTCACTTTTGGATTAGCTGATTTCTATATTGTGTGATATACAATACAGTCATATACAATTATATATAGAATTTCAATTATGAAAATTTTGCTTGTGTGTGTGTGTGTGTGTGTGTGTGTGTGTGTTTGTGTAATTTTTGAGTGTTTATAGTACAAATATACAAAAACATGTTTATAGTATCTAAATTCTGAGAAATTTCGCCTCACAGCAAGAAGGTTGCTGGTTCAAGTCTCAGCTGGGTCAGTTGGCATTTCTGTGTTGAGTTTGCATGTTCCCCCTGTTTTTGCGTGAGTTTCCTCCGGGATCTGGTTTCCCCCACAGTCCAAACCCAGCAGACAAACAATTTCATAAAACATTAATCTTAAGTTAGATTTAGGCCACCAGCATCTAAGGGCAATTTTAATTTGACGTCCAATAACGATGTGAAATTATGTTTATATTTGGTTGATTTTAGGTTGTGTTGGAAAGTGAGCAAAATCCAAAGTTGAGCCAACATCCTAAACCAAAATGTTGGAAATTGACGTCTGCCTGACGTTGGGTCCTGATGTCAACCTGATTTTAATTTCCAAACAAAATGTAACATCTCACGACGTTGGGGTACTACGCCAATCTGACATCATGTTGATGTCCTTTGCCTGCTGGGAAGACAAGCGCTATAGGTGAATTAAATAAACTAAATTGGCTGTAGCGACGCAGTGGCGCAGTAGGTAGTGCTGTCACCTCACAGCAAGAACGTCGCTGGTTCGAGCCTCGGCTGGGTCAGTTGCCGTTTCTGTGTGGAGAATGCATGCTCTCCCTGCGTTCACGTGGGTTTTCTCTGGTTGCTCCAGTTTCCCCCACAGTCCATCAACATGCGGTACAGGTGAATTAGGTTGGCTAAATTGTCCGTAGTGTATGAGTGTGTATAGATGTTTCTCAGAGATGGGTTGCAGCTGAAAGGGCATCCGCTGCAAAAAACATATGCTGCATAAGTTGGCAGTTCATTCCGCTGTGGCGACCCATGATTAATAAAGGGACCAAGCCGAAAAGAAAATGAATAAATGAAATTGGCTGTATTGTATGTGTGTGAATAAGTGTATATGTGTGTTTCCCAGTACTTCATTGCAGCTGGAAGGGCATCCTCTGTGTAAAACATATGTAAAACTGGATAAGTTGGCAGTTCATTCCGCTGTGGTGACCCCTGATAAATAATGGACTGAGCCAAAAGAAAATAATTGAATGAATGAAAAAAAAAAAATTATATGAATAGAAATATTTAAGTTGCATTATGAATAATTATTTTTAGAATAATAATAATAATAATAATTATATTACGAATTAAAAAAAATAATTATTATAAATAATTATGTTTTATTTAACCTATTTGAATATTTAATAGCTTAGAGTTTAGCATTGTCAGACAGGACAACTGGCTATATTTCTAACATTTATTACTTCTATCATCTGGATGCTCATCCTGTCATCTTTTATATTTGACATGCATATTAAATCCTGATAATGCTCGTGTTCGCTGTTGCAAATCTATCAACACGCTTTCAGAATGGTCCTGATTACAACCATTGAATGCGTGCAGCCAATCGAGGCGCTCATTTCTACCCATGCCTAAAAGTACACATTGCCACACGGTCCGAGGTATCCCGGCAACAACCAATCAGAGGCGGCGTCGGAGAGTTTATATTAAGCGCTTTTACTCCGCTGATGGCAGTACGCTGAACGCACCTGACAGACCGAGTGACAACACACTGCCGACTGAAGACTTCTTTCAAAATGGCAAATAGGACGATATTCTCTGGATATTAAATGTTAAAGTTTTCGTGTCGAATGTAATATGTGTTTTTGTTGAGGACTGCGGTTTTAAAAGAAGAACAAGAATATAATTAGTGTATAGTTTTTTTTAAAGAACAATTTTTGTCATCATGGAGTCTAATAAAAAGGTAATGTAATGTTACTCACTTCATAGTTGTAGACTATTATAAAAAGAATATATAATTTAATTATAAATGTATGTTTATATTAGCTATATTTGTAATATATTACTTCTGTCAGTCAGTAAACCAAAAGATAGACATTGGAGAAATGGGTTACTGCTGCACAAATGTTGATGCTTTATACTACAATGAAAAGAAAAACAGAATTATGTAGTTTTTTTAACGAATATTTTAACCTGCCGCCATGCAGTCTAATAAAAATGTTATCTAAAGTTGCCTACTTAGCATTTTGTCAATAAAACCAGATGAATACAACTATAGAAAGTCATGCTGCTTCAGTAAATAGGCTGTAACCAAATTGGATTTCTAAAAGTCAATGAATTGGTGAGGATAATAATACAGTATAACACTATTTCTACACATTTTGACTAACAGAACTTAAATTAACATTCTATATTTTTACATTTAAATTTGAGATGCTTTAACAAATATTAAACTGTGCACCTGTGCAAAATAAGTCAGAATTGTGCTACATAAAATAAAAATCTCATTTGTACTGTTAAATAATGAACTAGATTTATGTCTACAGAAGCAAAGGTCTCAGGTGTCATCAGGTTTAAACCCCTAAGCAATGGAAATATGTGCTAAAACCTCCTAATGAGAGCTAAACAGTATGTGACACCCAGAGATTTAGAGGAAAAACTGATGAACTACATCAATGCTTTGTTTTACTTGCATGTAACTTGCTTGCCAGGGACATAAAGAGATGAAAGCGAGGAAGGTTGAACATAAAGGCAGTCACACTTCTTTTGAGTTTTACAGAAGAAATTGACAGCTGCAGGGTTAGTTGAGGTCACAAAGGAAGAACCAACACAATAAATTAATAAAAAAAATATTAAAGAATGATAGAACAGGGACATTTAAGATAGATGTTTAAGGGATTTTAGCTTGTAAACTTGTGTGTTAAAAAGAAACAAGGAAAAAAAAGACTTGTACTGTTTACACTACATATTAATTTCATTTTCATTTATTCCATAATGTAAGTTTTTATGTAATCCACACTGTAAATTGTTAAAGAAGTAAAGAATACTGCAAGAAGTAAATTAAACAGCTTCATGTGCTACAAGAAGATAGTGTATTTCAACTTCAAAAGTGCAATATTCTTTGATTATTAAGTTTGTTTACATAATTAAATTTGTATATATATATATATAAATATATATATATATATATATATATATATATATATATATATATATATATATATATATATATATATATATATATATATATTTATATATATATATATATTTTTTTTTTTTCTTTTTTTTTTTAAGGAAATGCAAGTAAGAATTTAACCCAACCATTGAGTTGGTCAATATTTTACTCCAATTCAGGTTAAAGTAACCCACCACTTTTTAGTATGATGCTAAAGTAAACTTGGCATTTCTTTGCACAGTTTTGTTTAAATTTCTAATTATTTTTGTTAAATATTTGTTTATTTATTTAGTTTGTAATTTATTTATTTGATAAGTATTTATTAGCAATTATTCTAGTTTATTATTACAGTGTAAGGCAGCAGTGCACTTATTACTGAATGACTGCAAAAAGTGGTCTTTTAAACCTAAACCCCTTTGCTTCAGTGGCATTGTTTATGAACTTTTCTATATGTTCATTTCATCAGGAATGCTAAGCTGTGCCTAAGGACATGAGGCCAAAGTTACAACACTTCTAAATGCACTTCATTTATTTGTAATTTTGCTGAACTCAATCACATGCAATAATAATCTGTTGTTATGTAATATTTAACAAGGTTCAAGTCTTACATGTAAACACATGTGCTACAGTCTGAGCAATACTGAGAATGACTGAAAGGGGGCGCCACCTGCCTACTGTCAACTAGTAAATGTTTACTAAAACACATTGGCTCTTCATTAGATAGATTAAAACACTATTAAAAGGCTGCTGATGTAACCTGCTTAAGCTTGAGAATAACTGCTTGCTACCTTTGACTGTTAAAGGAGTAGCATAACTAATATATCTGAAAATGTCTAGTTTGCATCTTTTTGGTACACAAATATACAGTATTGCGCAGGCTGAGATGGCTCTAAATATAAACTAAAGTGTTAAGCTGGGTAAGAATGCTAAGAAGCACGTATAAAATCACATGCCAGTGTTACTTAGAAGTGCCTTCTATATAGTTAATCTGACTGTACGTGCTGGTGCTCACGATCAGCTGGTTGTCTTTGAGGGCCTTTTAAGCATGTTATGTAAAAGCCTACGGTGGTTTGAGTGGATTGGAATAAGAGGCTGCGGTGATGGTGGTATGAGTGCGTGTGCTGCTTCAGGTGCTGCTGGATCTGTAATAGGATCATACTTGATAATCGACAGGGTTTCCCTCATTCAGCATTATACACAACTGAACCATTGTTCACGTGGTGGTTCAAAAGCATTCTGGGTGTAATTACAACTGTTCAAGATATTTTATGTTTTTTTTTTTAAACAAAGCTGTAAAAAATTGCAGTAAAGCCACATTAAAACAGCACATTCATACCTTTTAATTGTCCTGCATTTAATGCCTCTTTAATTTAATATTTTCTGTATTTTGTATGCATAATATATTATGCATTTACCTATTATACATACATACTGTAGCATTTTATAAAATAGATAACATAATAAATATGCCTCATGCCACTATTGTTTTTGTTACTATAAAAAAATTATATATATATATATATATATATATATATATATATATATATATATATATATATATATATATATATATATATATATATAAATAATTTGAAACTACAAGCAGTTTTACTTTAAACAACTGAAAACAAATGAAATATACTTACAGTTAAATATACTTACATTTTTGATGAGATATAGTCATTTAAACATTATTATAGTAACATTATATTATATAATAATTTTAAAACAATAATTTTAATTACATTAGTTAACTACATTACTTTACATGAATACTTATAAAGCATTTATTAATCTTAGCCAACATTTGCTTTTATCTTTTAATTGTATTTAATTTTGATTGTAATTTTTTTATAGTATTTTTGGAATGTTTTATTTGTAATTATTATTTAATGGAACTGAGCTAACTTGAATTAACATTGCTGTTTATTTACAAATGCTAACAGAGATATAAACTGTATTTCTCATATTTAATCAATGTTAATTATGCTCATTAATTAACATTAACTAGTATATCTTAAAATATTTTTTTCTGGAAAAAAAGTGGAGTCTTAGGCATATTTTTGTTTTGTTGACTGCAAATCAAATTAAAGCATTTTGGTAACACTTTATAGTAAAATCAATTAATAAATTAACAACAGATTATAATAATTATCAATAGATATGTTACAGTATTTATTAATCTTTGCATTGCATTAATTTATAAAATACAAATTAAAAGTCAGTTCATGTTTACTCAGATGCAATAATACAAAAATATATTTATTTATAAATGTTGAAATTGAAATATTATCATACAGAACCTACAAAAAAGGGTAACAATTTAAAATAATGTTCCATTAGTAAATATAAGTTCATATTTACTAACATGAACAAACTATTAGTAATATAATATTTACAGTTAATGTTAGTAGATCTTTAGTTAAATAACATTAGTGTATGTTGACTCAGAGTGCATTAACTATTGTTAACAAGCACAAATAAAAATTGCAATAGTGCATTAATTAATGTTGAACTATGATTAATAAATGCTTTAAAAAATGATACATACTTAGTTAATGTTAGTAAATACATACACTAATTGACCATTATTCTAAAGTTACCAATAATGGTTAACAATGTTTCTTCAGAATTAAACCCAAATGTTGTTTGTGTTTATAGGAGGTGACTCCTCAGCTGATGATGGCCGTCGGGACTGCTGTGATTGGCTCCTTGCAGTTTGGATACAATACAGGAGTCATTAACGCCCCACAGAAGGTGAACATTATAGACATCTGAAATAAAATGTCATTTAATCTATTATATATAATGCATACGATTATTTAATTAAGCTAATTAGTTCATCAATTCTTTATTTAATTATTGAGTAGACATGTTTTTGCCTCATTTTTTGTGTTAGTGTTTGATTAGACTATTATAAACTATCCTGTATTGATCCTTTTTTTAACTTAGCTTAAGATATGCTGATTCACACATGCAGAGCGTCTAATAATAGAAAAGCACTACTAAACAATTTAGCTTACCCAATTCACCTATAGTGAATGTCTTTGGACTTGTGGGGGAAACCGGAGCACCCAGAGGAAACCCACGCAAACACAGGGAGAACATGCGAACTCCACACAGAAATACCCACTGACCCAGCCGAGGCTCGAATTAGCGACCTTCTTGCTGTGAGGCAACAGTGCTACCCACTGTGCTACTGCGCCACCACTGTTATGTCTATGAAGTAAAAAAATAGCTGCAATGTAAAGATTACAATGTACTAATTAGTTTCTTATATAAAACACAACAGAAGCTATTTTGAAGAATGGTGAAAACCTGTAGCCATTAATATCTACAGGGGGAAAAAATGACTGCCAGATTCTGAGATTCTTCAAAATTTTTATTTTGGAGTAAACAGAAGAAAGAAATAGGACTGTAACAGGATTGTTTTTGAGTGAACTGTCCCTTTAAACTTGCTTGTAATCTGCAACTATTATTATTTGTTCACCATTAATAATGAATGACCTTGACCTCTTTATGGGTCACATCTACTGAGGGTTCTGGATAAATCCCGCATACTATATTTGAGACAACTCTATAAATGGAATGGAAATCATGTGCCATTCATTACACTAGTCTTTTAACAGGATAAAGAGAAGAAGTCAAAAGTCAAGGAGCTGGTAAAGACACCATTACTGTAAAGGGGGTTTTAGGAATATAAGTAATAGGAACTAAATAGTTTGGGCTAGTTACACTGTCATTTAAAAGTTTGGACTTTTTTGGACATAAAATTTTGAATGCATTAAAAATGGATTCCCTGGTCTCACAATGCAGATATTGATTATCATGTCATTGATTTGGTTCAGTTCGATATCACAATGCATTGACGATGTACTGCATCCTCAATTATAATTTCTGCTTTATCTATACAGTTTTACCATTGAATGCAAGGAGAATATACTGTATGAATTCAACCTTTAATTTTACCTGCTTGAAAGAAAACATGGTTCTTGAACGTATCAATTAAATAAGCGATAACAATATGTTCAGCATTGTGTTCCGCTGCTGAGTTATAATGTACTGTACCTTCAGTGTCAATTGAACAATGTATAACAGTCTAGGCTTGTCTAGGTCTATTAGAAATCAGATATAATCATACAATGATATAAAAAAAGTTTTTATAAATAAATAAACATTTATTTGTTGCCTATAATATTACATTTGATTTCATACATTTAATTTTACAAATATGTTTTAATTAAGTAATATTACAATTTTGACATACTCAAACCACTGCAGCTTTGTTGCACATATGTCTTATATAGATAAAATGTAAATGTTGGAAATCTTGTAACAGAGATTTCTGCTTGAAATTAGAAATCAAAAGTCACCTAGTTTCTTCAAGAGCCATGACCGCATTTGAAATAACAGTAAATGTTATTGGAGTGTGTTATGAAGGAGCACAATTGTCAGTCTGTAATGAACTAATAAAAATAACTTCAAAAGCACATGACAGAAAATGTGCAGAAGACAACTTTAAGCTTATGTCATTCAAAGTAGATGGTGAAGTGTTCAAAGAAATTGGTCATAGTGAAGATAAGTGAGAACAGCCAGGTACTCTGCTTCTTACAACAGATCTATGTATAGCTGCAACATACAAGTTTGTGAGGCTATTTGCAAATGTTTGTTTGGACGATGGATTTGGGAAACACCAAATAGCTGAACCATCTTGGGAACTACAGAACTTGCCAAGATGGTTCAGTTGGTTTAGTTGGTCAGATGGTTTATAGTTTTGGAAAATGCATTCTGTTTTGACACTACATTTCTGCTCCCTCTGCTGTCTCTAATGTGGTACTGCTGGATGACTGTTGACTGAAGTTAGAGAAGTGTAATGATATTTAGGTCACAATTCACAGTATTAACAAACTATTAACAAACACTACTAGCTTAATGAACTACTAATTAGCTGTTTATTAATAGTTAGTTAGTTAGAAGTTGGGTTTTGGTTTTGGGTAGGATTAGGGATGCAGAATAAGATCATGCTTTAGAACTGTTAATGAAAAGTTAATATCTTATTAATAGGCAGGTAATATGCTAGTAGTTAATAACATGAACTGTGACAGAAACTAAAGCGTATAAATACGTTTTTAAGAAAATGAAATTACATAAAAAATGTTGAAATTCCTTATGAATCTCATACCCACTTGATAATGTTGTTTTTTTTCTCTCATAGATCATCGAGGGCTTCTACAATGAGACGTGGCATAACAGGTATTCAGAGTACATTCCGCCGACCACTCTAACCACACTCTGGTCTGTATCAGTGGCCATTTTCTCTGTGGGCGGCATTCTCGGCTCCTTCTCAGTGGGACTCTTTGTAAACCGCTTTGGCAGGTAACTTCAAAATCTACAGCAGTCAGAACCTTACCGATACTTTGCTCCTCTTCTGGATCTGAAACTCTTTGTGATCTTCCAACAGGAGGAACTCAATGCTCATAGCTAACATTCTGGCCTTCATAGCTGCTGCTTTTATGGGCTTTTCGAAGCTGGCTGAATCCTGGGAGATGCTTATTATTGGACGGTTCATTGTGGGTCTTTACTCGGGCCTGTCTACAGGCTTTGTGCCAATGTATGTTGGAGAAATTGCCCCGACTTCATTACGTGGGGCGCTGGGAACTCTTCATCAACTTGGCATTGTCATTGGCATCCTCATGGCACAGGTGTTTAAGTATTTAAGCATTTTTTATTATTAGACATTTTAGCAGACATTCTTTTGTAAATACACTTTTTTAAAATATGAACATAAAACAGATATTTTAGCAATTAGACATTTGAAAAAAACAACAACAACCAACAGTCATAAAACTAATAATTAAACAAAACAAACAACATGCATTCCCTCAACCAACCACCCACCCACCAGTGCTATCCAATGGTAAAAGTAAGTACTAAAGGCATAGTAAACATATTAATCACAATTCTGTAGAAAGGAAATAAAGGGGGACCAATTTTTTTCAAATAACAAAACTGCTAGATTAAATTGCCTTTATACCAGACTTGATCTCCCTCAGGTCTCTATCATTGACAATGATTTACATTTACTCATTTAGTTGATGCTTTTATACAAAGCGACTCACAGGTGAGGATTAAAGAAGCACTTCAAATCAGAACAGAGCGTAGCAGTATACAAATGCTACCCAGGCTCAATTTGAAGAGTTAGTCCCATGGACGTTTCTGGAGGCCGCAAATTATATAGCCGGAGGTACGTATGGCTGCATTCCAATTTTTAAGCGAACACTAAGGGGCGGTATGACGCTGTTCGTTTTTGCGCTTACCGACTGACTGCTTACCTCCATGTGGAGGGCTTTCCCGCCGCAACCAGTTTGTCGAGTTAGCTTGTTGTGTACGTCAGCGGCCTTGAGAGGCAGAGAGGAGCTGACCACGATGACGACAACCGGGTTCGAGTCCGGGGAAGAGCGGTTCCAGAAATGAGGTAAGACAAAAACAGAATCCAAAAAATAAAGTAAACAAGTTCATAACAGGGTGAGAATGTGGTCAAATCCGAAAACGTGGTGAAGATCAGACGAGGGAGACGACAAAGAGGGAGTGACAAGTCAGTCAACAGCGGCCTCTGGTGGATTTACATGAGAACAGCAGGCACGGATGGCAATTTGAGATGTCAAAAAGTGTACACGGTGGCCTCTGTGGATTTGCAAAAACCAAAAACTGCACAAAAACCTACCTCCTGGGACATATTTGGCACACCCCAGAAATGTATATAGTAGTTACATTTTCAAAATGAGTCTGGGTCGGCTTTTTTTAATAGACATGGCCCGCATATCGTCATCTTCATCATCTTGTCATTTAACCCCAACTGTTTAGACATAAATGATCTTTGTGATCTTTTTCCTGTAGATCTTTGGTATTAAAGAAATCATGGGTTCTCCCACATTGTGGCCCTTCATGCTTGGCTTCACCTTTATCCCAGCTGTGCTCCAGTGTGCCCTGTTGCCCTTCTGTCCTGAAAGCCCACGATACCTCCTCATCAACCAGAACGAAGAGGCCAAAGCCAAGAGCGGTAAGTACTGTGTCTAAAGCTCCACTTAAGATGTTGCCTGTGCCCTCAGCCTAACTAACTGATTTCCACAGTGCTAAAGAAGCTGCGTGGCACTGATGATGTGGGCGCAGACATGCAGGAGATGCGGGACGAGAGCAGACAGATGATGAGGGAGAAGACAGTCACCATCCCCGAGCTTTTCCGCTCATCACTGTACCGTCAGCCCATCTTCATCGCCATCATGCTGCAGCTCTCACAGCAGTTCTCCGGCATCAATGCTGTACGCTTTCCTGCTTATTTCTTTTCTGGCAATACATCTATTCACTTTCCTATCTACTTCTACTGTACTAGCGAAATATAAATTGATGTTTGCCAACTAATACAAATTTTTTTTAGTATAATTTATTTTATAAATCATTATTATTAAAATAAAACCAAAACAAAGTAAAACATTTTCTATTACTATAACTTAAAGCACCAAATCATCAAAATAGAATCATTGATGGATTATAACACTGCATTCAGCTTTTACAGCTGAAAATAAAATATATTATTTTGTTAACTGAAATAAAAGACATTTACTTTAAATTTTAATAATATTTCAACTTGTTCAAATAAATTCATTCTTGGCAAACAGAAAACATAAAAAAACTATTAAAAATATATTATATAATTACATAATTAAATTTATGTTTTAAATTATGGTTTGTAGATTTATCTGAATTTTCTTTTGTTTTTAAGTCAAATGCCAATGATGGCTGTAAATGTAAAGGTCTTTAAATAGCTGCAGATGCTACTAGAAACTGATGAGAAATTACCTGTACTGGTTTTTGAGAAATGTATTATGTGAATTAATCTAATGCTAATTAGCTAATCAAAACAATAAATAGTTTTAATAAAATCATTGTGTATCACAAAACTTATCACAAGGTCATTGATAAACAGTGATTTTGCATGCTAAGTAAATGTTATTGTTTTTTTTTTTCAGGTATTTTATTACTCTACTGGTATATTTGAGAAAGCGGGGGTGTCTGAGCCAGTTTATGCCACCATTGGTGCTGGAGCTGTGAACACAGCATTCACAGTGGTTTCTGTAAGTTAGTAAAAGTGTTTACTCAGTATGTGTCTACATTGGCTAATTGTGATAACTCACCCCTATATACACTTTTGGAGATCGCAAATTATGTATAGCTCGAGTAATATATGGCTGCAATTTGTCTTTAAAACAAATGCCACAGGGAGGTTAGAGGCCGTTCCTTTTCACGCTTACTAGCTGACCGCTTATCTCTATGTGGACGGCTTTTCTCCTGTTAGTGGCTCGCCACATATGTGGAGGATTTGAGACGCAGAGCGGAGTTAACTGTGATGACAGGGTTTGAGTCTGGCAAAGAACAGTTCTAGAAAGCACAAAAACAAAAGCCATAAAATAAAATAAATAAGTAAATAACAGCGTGAAAATGTGGTAAAATCTGAAAACATGGTAAAAATCAGGCTGCTGTGAGAGATTTTCTTATTCTGGACTGCTTTTAAAAACACTATCAGTTAGGTTTATGGAAGGAGGTGGGCTCTGGTCAATTGGTGCTTTTTAATACAGTCTCGGTTTGGTTTAGGGAAGGAGGAGGGTGGGGGGATTGGTCAGTCAGTCAGTAAGTTAGTCGACAGCGACCTCTGGTGGATTACGCAAGAAGAGCAGGAGCGAATGGCACTCTCAAGAGAAATTTGAGATCTCAAAAAGCCTACACATCGGCCTCTGGTCATCCTTGACAACATTGGGATGTAAAAAATAAGGGATATGCCCTCCATAAAAAGGGACCCCCCCCTAAATATTATGAATATATTATATATTATTATTATACATTACTAAATATGTTTATTTGGAGCTGTTTCATAGTAAATGAGCAGTTAAACGGTCATAAATATGTTTTATTATTATTATTTACAAAAGAAAAAATAAATAGTATACATTAGCAGCAAATAGATTAACAAACAGTTCAGCTTATTAAAATGATTAGCTAATATAAAGACACAGAATCAAGTTAATGAATCCCATTAGCCATTTCCTAACTGTATAACTTACACATTCTGATTAAAGAGCAACGAATAAATGATTTATTTATATTTTTCTTTGTTTGATTACATTAAATAACAGGTGTCTCTTTAAAAATGCACACGTCTAACGTTATAATGAAAGCATTTAGTTGCCTTCCTAACTTTTTAGACTCATTTAGGACGAAATTACTTGTGTTTAAAAAAAAACCCAAGATCAACATCTTTAGATGTTATTATTATTAGTTATGTCTATAAGTCTGTTCATACACACACTCAAAACCCAGACTTTCACTCTGCTTCAAGTCACGAGTCAAACAGCTTCTATTTATCACTATGGAGTGTGTCAGCTGACAGTCATGCAGTGCTATATGACTTTGAGGATTGCATATGAAGGGGAGACGGCCCCTGTAATGAAAAGGAAAGGGAACTGTGCCGTTTTATGTTTATTTCAAAGTGTTTTCATGCTCGAATAAAACGAAAGCACAGAGCAGACTCACATTTAAGAGTAAGGGCGGTCTCTGGTGGTTCGGTGGTATGGGTTGAATATAGGGAGGCTTGGCTCTTTAATGTTTATTTGCCACCCTTCAGAGAAAGACTGAAAATATGAGAGAAATACGTGAAAATACCTTTATGGGATGATAGTGGGATAAAACTGTAAAATACAGTAGAATCCCAGGAAAAACAGGAGGGTTGACAGGTATGCCTCTGGTGGATTCTCAAAAAAAAAAAACTGCAAAAAAATTACCTCCTGGGATGTATTTGCTGCTCTCCAGAAATGTATATAGGGTTATGTAATCAGAATGCACCTCGGTTAGTATTCTTATGCTTTGTTAACACTTAATTGAAAATGCTTGTATTCCTTTGTAATTTAGCTGTTCATAGTGGAGCGAGTAGGCCGAAGATCACTGCATCTTGTTGGTTTGATGGGAATGGCTGTGTCTTCTGTTCTCATGACTATTGCAATGGCACTACTGGTATGTGAACACATTTATGCGCAATACTTAATTTTGTGTTTCAGTGTGAACTGAAATATGTTTATCCTTCATAGACAAAAGTGGAATGGATGTCATATGTCAGCATTGTAGCCATCTTCAGTTTTGTGGCATTTTTTGAGATTGGACCAGGCCCAATCCCATGGTTCATTGTGGCAGAGCTATTTAGTCAAGGCCCTCGTCCTTCTGCCTTCGCTGTCGCTGGTTTCTCCAACTGGTTTGCCAACTTCTTAGTGGGAATGTGCTTCCAGTATGTTGAGGTACGGAAACTTGAGCACATCTATTCAGTCTTTTCTCAGTGTTTTCACTTTTGTTCAAATACTCACCGTCTGTTTCTTCTGACAGGAACTGACCGGCCCATACGTTTTCATCATCTTCACTGTCCTCCTGCTGATATTCTTCGTCTTCACCTACTTCAAAGTTCCTGAGACCAAAGGCCGGTCGTTTGAAGAGATCACAGCCAGCTTCCGCACCGGGGCAGATAAATATAACCGAGATGATTTGAACACACTGGGGGCAGATTCACAACTCTGAGCTCTACACACAGGTTTATACAGTGAAGGCTATTTCACACCAGGGATGATAACTAGCACATTTTAACAATTGTTCTAATTTGATTAGATTCTTAAAGAATTTATAACAATAATAACATTATTGTTGGGATCACAAAATAAAATTCTGAAAGCCAATCAGAATACTCTCAGCATTAAAGATTTTGAGTGTTTAAAGTGGCCGATGACAATTAAAAATATATATTTGTGATAATGAGAAGTAACCGGCTGGTTTTATGTCTGTCATGAAACATTAAATTCAGTTGATCGCTATATTTTATTTTAATTTGTATTATCTTACTTATTCTAATGGTGGCTATATGTCATGTTGAAGTTATTATTGAGCAATATTCATTTTAGCCACTATTTTTGAAATACAGTATATAGAGGGTGAGGCAGGCATGACACAAGAACCACCCCAGAAATAATCTGCCATTGGTTCTTTTATGATTGTCCAATGGAGAGTTTATATTTCTTTTTTTCCAGATTCTGATGTAATTCCCACACCAATCAATTGTCAAAATTAAGAGATTTAAAAGATTTATTCATTTGTTTACGCTGATTTCTTCTGGAATGATTCAGCATTTTTGAACGAATTGGGTGGATGAAGGATTCAGTAAGCCATTCATAAAAAACAGCCACTTGCTTCATTTATGAATGAATCAGCAATTTTGAAAGTAGCAGTTAAAGTAACTAATTCATTGACTCACAGATTAAGTTAATTGTAAAGAGTCACTTGGTTTGTTTCTGAGTGAATTGCTCTTTTTGAACAGATTAGTTGAATAAATGATTCAGTGACTCATTAAGACTGTGATTCGGCATTCACCTGTTCAGGGTTTTTGCTTCATATTTAAAACATTATTTGAGAGTTCTGCATACAATATATTGTTGTTTCTTTCGAAGGCAGCGACCTAATGGTGGTTTTAGTTTCATATGTCAATATTTAATTCCTCATTTTTAATATTTAACACTTCATAACGTTGTTTATTCAGTTGTAACTGTAATGTGAATGCATACATGTCATCACTGGCATTAAATATGCAGTTTCTGTGTCACGGCTGCATTTTGTTGGCATTTATAAACTGGCATTTATTGGATAACTTAAAAACTTAGTTCAAAGTTCATTCATTCATTTTCTTTTTGGCTCATTCCCTTTATTAATCTAGGGTTGCCACAGCAGAATGAACCGCCAATCTATCCAGCATATGTTTTACGCAGCAGTTGCCCTTCCAGCCGCAAACCATCACTGGGAAACAACCATATACACTCATTAACACACATACGGAAAATGTAGCCTACCTAGTTCACCTGTACCGCGTGTCTTTGGACTTTTGAGGGAAACCGGAGCATTCAATGGAAACCCACCCAAACACAGGGAGAACATGCAAACTCCACACAGAAATGCCAACTGACCCAGCCGAAGCTCAAATCAGCAACCTTCTTGCTGTGAGGCGACCATGCTACCCACTGCGCCACTGTGCAACCTAGCTCAAACTTGATGTATGCAATTTATTATTTAAATTATTTAACACATAAGAGTAAAACTGCCCCAGAAAACAATACCATATTAGGAATATCACATTTTGTATTCTGGCTTCACTGAATCCTTCAAAGTGTTCTCTCTTTTTTGGCGTTGTAAAAATCAGAAAAACATTATGCTTTGGTGTGAATACTAATTTTTATAATCACATTTATAGTTATCATTCTTGGTGGGAATGTCCTGTAATGTTCAATGTCTGCTGTACACTAACCATGTGACTGTTTTCAGCTTTAGCATGGTGGCTATGTTCACAATAGCAAACTACCTTATTACTCCTACAAGGAATGCAACAGGTTATGCATTGTTTACTATGCACTTTTTTCACATTAATTTGAATGCTCAAATGACTTTTGCCAAAATGTGCAGTATTTGACCAGTACATACTACTTCTTAATAATTACTAAATATTGCAATGGAAATATTTCAGAAGTGTGAGTATTTGTATACCATAAATAACAAAATAACCATTTTCCTGAGATTGTAAAATGCATAATGTAAAACATGGAAAATATAACAGCAATCTGCAATCAGCATATTTTTACATACAGTATTGTATATTATTATTTTATACTGTATTTTAAAAATGATATGCAGTATGGCATGTATGCAATATTTTAATATTGTATACTGAACTTTCTATTTAAATGCAGTAGAGAAACAATATAAGAGGAATTCCTACTTTTTACTCACAACTATACATTCACTCGCTCTTTTAAAAATAATGATCACAAGTTCTGCGAATGAAAAAGCTTATTTGCATACTACTGGATTACATAAGTATGATTTAATTCGCACAATCACATCGTAAAGAAATATATATTTCTTTAAACTAGAACTATTGTCTAGTAAACACATGAGTTCTGATATGTCTACTGATGTTTTGTCAAGCATAAATATGTCAGAAATGCAACCTCAACATTATGGTGTCAGATGATGAAACATGTTCATCAGTACTTGAACTGTAGCTGCAAACTGAAAACAGTTATTTACAGTCCAGAAATGTGGATTAGGGACTTAACTTTCATCTGACGTTTAAAATCTTTCCAAAATTTGACCAATACAATAACTGTACTAACACATTTGATATAATATATGAAAAATTGGAATTTTTAGATCTGTGCGTGATGTTTATGATGTCCTTGTGATGATGATAATTTAGTATGTTGTTCATTTTGCAAAAGTGCAATAATTGTTCACATCCCGTTTATTTATTTCACATTTGATATAGGCATTATGAATGAAACAGGCTTCTAATATTTCCTATGTAAAATATATGTATTTTTATGTATAAGAGTACATGTGCTATGTTGTTTTCAACTAACATGGCGTACAGTGAACTGATATTTTAGAATCATTCATCCAGAGAATGTAAATAAGTCTACTGAAGCATATTTTTATAGATGTGCTTAGTATTTTAAATTGTTTTCTAAAATTGTTCTAAAAAATCACTTAAATTGCAATAGAAATCAAAAAAACGTGCCAATACATGTACTTGCTTGGTATCTTTTTAAAAAGATAAGTAATTCATAGTTGTAAATACAATCAAATAAATACAACTGTAACAGCAGAAATGTGTCATTGCTTTATTAATTTCTGATTAGATCAGTGCTTGTTAGAATGTTTAAAATACAAAAATTCATACATACAGTAAATCCCCAATTATTCCAAACTCCAACAGATGGCAGTATTTCTCTTTGCAAAAGAGTTTAGTTCAGTTTTGGTAAGTGTTGAACTTTCTTTGAATGGGCGACAAACATTTTTTCATACATGCCCATCAGAAATATATGTTTTGATTATAATTGGGTGAGTTAATGATGACAGAACTTTGTATTAATAGAAAAGGCCTAATAAATATTTACACGTTAGTTCAGATGGTAGTTTACGAGACCGTTAGGATGAACCGTGTTCATTTGTTTTTGTAAAGAAGTGTAGTAACCTTTTATGGTATATTTATTACAACTGGCTTAACCACTGTTTTGGTTTGTTGGTTTGGTTTAATTTGTAAGATATTATGGCTAATCATCACAGCTCACTACATTTATGGATTTTTTTTTTATTAGAAATTAAAACATAACCAAAAAAATATATAGATTAGAGATTTTCAAAAATCTAATTCATTTTATTAAACTACTAGAACTATCATATTTTATCTATAACCTACTGTGGGTAGTTACATTAAAAACAACATGCAAATAAAAAGCTATATATATATTTTTTTTTGGAACCTGTAGTTGAGCCTAACGTTATATTAAAGACACAGCAATAGCGTCAGATGCAGCAGATTGATTTTATGGCACCAGGTTAAACTTTCTGACACCTTTAGGGTAGTCACATAAATGAAAAATAAATTCAGGCTAGGAGGATGATCTCCAAATGGTGTTCTCAAAAATTAAACAAAATATAGACTTCCGCCTTTTGTGTGTGCTGTTGTGTGCAAGATTTGTATATTTGTAACAGGGTGGGTCATTTATATAGATACACCTTAATAAAATGGGAATGGTTGGTGACATTAACGTCCTATTTGTGGCATATTAGTAGTATATGTGAGGGGCTTGTAAATAATTCAAGAAAGAATAAAGTTACGTTAAAACCAAGCACACTATTTTTTTTTTAAAGGTGTATACATATAAATGTCCCACCCTGTACTTCAGAGGATATTGGGGGTCACGAGCCACTGGCATTGATAATGTGGGGGTCGCCGCCGCCGGCAGAAAAGTTTAGGAACTCCTGGTCTACCCTATAAAAAATGAAATAACAACCATCTGGACCTATGACAGTTTACTGGGGAGACTGTTGATTGGCAGCGAAATCCTCTTAATGTAATGGACAGAGCAGGGCCATAATGACAGTCATTACGACTGAACCACCGGCTGTCTTGTCATTTTTGTCATAAAGCAGCAGACTGCTGCATCCTGCCAGACTAAATGATGGGTTTTCCTATGTGCTGATGGGATATCAACAATTTCGGTGAAAACCGAAATACTGTAGGACTCTACTAATAACATTTACACTGTAGAATTCAGCTGATGTTTTTGCACCATAAATTTCATCATCAATTCAATAAGAGACAGAAAAATTAATATGCATTCCATGACGTTTTGAAGAAACGGTTCGAATGATCTCCTATCATTTTCAGGATGTAGGTGTCTTTTTAAAAAATAACCTAAATGTAAAAAATATACTGTATATAATATTGTTTGCACAGAGCAGTTATCTTAAGGAGCCACAGGTATCACTTTTATTTCGCCTCTGTATGTTTGTTTGACTCTCAAAATGGTAGATGTCAGGCATTCACCATAGTCACCTCCCTCACCTGAACCCCAGCACTCACAACCGAGATTTTCTTAGTATGGGGGAGATGAAAATGTCTGTATTGTTTACCATTGGAAACCCGTAACACTAATTTGGTCACATGAAGCTCATCTTACCCAATCATTTATTGA